GCACACTGAGACCAGACGCGTGTTAGGTGGTGTGCCTGCCGTGGTTTTGCCTGGTATTCCTCGCGCTTAGACATTCCTCCGCGGTGGCGGTGGTGTTGCTATGGTGAGGCGTCTCCGCGGTGGCGGAGTGCATTGGCGCTGCCGAGTACTGCTTGCCACTGGGGCGTCGTAGCAAACATTCTGCTCCGCGACCCCCCGTGCCTTCCCGAACCAAGGAAGACCGCGATTACGTCGCGCTCGCAGGCTTTCCCGAACCATTACAGACCCCGATCCCCCCAAACAAGGAAGACCCCAATTAGGTTGCATCCCTCCCCCCGCCCTCCCTTCCTCCCCGCCGCCCCCCTGCGCGCCCTCGCCCTCGCCTCCTTCATGTATTCCAGCAGCGACAAGCAGAGACCCAACATATCGTCATTCTAGTTGCTGTCGCGGCTCAAGCATGCCCGCCCTGGAGTTAACTCGCCCCCATGGTAGTGGAGCTTCCTCTGGGGGGGCCGCTGGCCGCGATGCAGATGACGACGACCTTGACTACAGAAGCTTGCCCACTTATGCGCCGACGGGCGCATCTGGCATGCCAGGAGATCTGGATGACATCCCCGTGGACGCAGAGCTCCTGCTGAATCCGCAGTGGGATGCCGGGACAAACTGCTCTGTTGGTGTTTGGACGGTTGGGACCCACGGTGGTGGGGAGGGTGTGAAGGGAAAGGATGGCAAAGGCAGTAGCCATGGAGGAACTTTTGGCGTCTTGACCGCCAACTGGGGTGGGAAATGGGCCGATCCGCCACTGCATGCGCACATGCAGCAAGACCTGAAAAGCTCTTCCTGCCAGTTCCTGATCATCCAGGAAGCTTCAGCATATCTGCTGGATTACGTGCAGCAAGACCCAGGGAAAGGCGACCACAGTGCCAAGGGCGCGGGGCGGCCTGCAGCCAAGGTCATAGGTGTGCGAGGCCCGGAGGACGGCGATAACACTATGATATGCGGCAGGGAGTCCCTGGTGTCGGGGATGCGGCTGCTACTGTTCCATCGGACAAAGGATGGAGCATGCACGCGCAAGACCAAAAGCAAGACCCAAAGGAAGACCGTCACGAAGACCGCGGTGAACATAATCATGATTGCATCTGCAAAGATGCGATTTTGGAGAACCCGCGGTCGCGGGGAAGCCGATTCTGATGACCACGACCTCGATGAGCTCAGGTTCGCCAGCGTGCACTTGAACTACAAGACGGCGAGAAAAAGACTTGCAAGCTGGTGGAGAGGCCTACAAGCGTTTCTGGGATCTGCTAGCGAAGTGCTTGGCCGAGTTCCGCCCCCGCGTTCTCTGCGGGGACTTCAATATGGCGCTCTTCAGTGTTGTGCCAGAACTGCGGGCGCGCGGCTTCCAGGTCAATCTGGCTCAAGACGGAAGCGACGAGTGTCACGACGCGTCTTCGTGCGCTCCTCTATCACCGGATCCTTGAGCGCGCTCCCCCCGACCGCGGCTATCCTCCTCACTTCCACTTCTCACTTCCAAGTCGCGCGCCATGGCCCCCTCGCCTGGCGCCGCGCCTGGCAGAGCCCCCAGTCGCTGCGGCGGCCATCTCCTCTGCGCGGCCGCGCTGTGGGCAGCCGCCGCCGCCGCCTGCCGCGTCGCCCTCGCTGCGGCCCCCTCCCTGGCCTCGCTGGTGCCGCCGACCGAGAGCCCCGTCGAGCAAGTGAGCATGGAGGTCGAGAGGCTGCTCGGAGAGGCAACTGATTTCATCGGCGTGTGGCCCGCCAGACCCGTGGGCGACGACGTCGAGGTGCAGACGGACGATGGCCAGCCCGCCGTGTCGCACGCGATCCACATCTTGTGCCTGCAGGATCACATCGCCGGCTTCGCGAACATCTCTGGGCCAGGCTGCCACGAGCAGACCACTACGCTCGAGGTCAAGGGCGGGACCGGCAACGCCCTCTTGCACGAGGACATCGTCAAAGGCCACGCGGAGACCTCCGCGGAACTGGTCCAGGGGCAGATCAGCAACACCCCCTGGGACGAGCTCAAGGGGGGCACGGCGGAGCAGACGCCTCGCCCGCAACTAGCCGGGCTGCCGTTCCAGAAGCGCGCGCCCGTGAATCCAGAGTGGGATGCAATTGGTGGGGTGCTGGTTGCAAGTATGCATGATTCTGAGTGCCACCTGAGCCTACACTCTCCTTTCCTCCCTGCCCTCTCCCTGACTCCCGCCCCTCCTGACTCCGCGGCGCCCTACGGCGTCAGACTAGTGAGGTTTTCAGCTGACGATGGGGTGTCGGCCATCCCTCATCACTTTTCAATGTTATTTTCACTGTTCCCACCCGCCCTCGGCACCCTCCCCCCTCACTTCACTGCGTCTCTTTGTTCATCTTCCTCGCACCCCGAAGCAACGGGGCACGCTCTCGGTGGGGGCTCTGTTCGGAGCCCTTCTGCGCATAATTCGATGGCTGGCAGTGATTGGGATCTGTCCGCCGTGCATGCCTCTGTTAACTACGTTACCCGTTTTTCCTTCCTTCCCGCCCCGTTCTTCAATGTTGAAGCCGTGCCTGGTTTGGGTTGCAGCCAGAGCTGGCCGCGCAGTGTTGAGCAGCCTCTCTTGACTTCTCGTCTTCTCTCTTTCTCCCCAACCACCGACCCGCCAACCCCAGCCCCCGACCGACAACGTGGACAGACCAGACGATCCGACGAGTCGTCTTCGACGTGCGTCACGACGTGTGCCGGCGCACGCTGCACGACTGGAATCGTGGTTCGCCCTAGCAGTGGCGCCCCGCGCGAGCCTGGCCCGCACTGGACGGCTTCTGGGAGACCGGGAGGGAAAGCCGAAAGGGTGGGTGTTGACCCTTTCAGCCTTGGGACCATGCGGACCCAACCCTCTGAAACCGATTTCGGAAGATTCAGTGGGCACCTCCTCCCCACCCGGTGGTCCCATCAGGACCCCCCCGCGAGTTTATTTCTGGAGGGGGGTATCCTCTTCACGTGCCGCCTGCAGGACGGTGTTTGTGCCAGTTCGTTCAGGTCCATCCTGTCTCGGGGGATGCCAGCCCATCCTCGGGCCATGTCGTCGCAGACGGCCGTCGCCCTGGCTGCCTGTGGCGACAGCTTTTCGGAGTGGCTGCGTGTGAAATCTCCGGGGAGCGTGCGCCTCATTCTGTGTCGGGGTCCCTTTGGGTCGTCCGGCGGATGTCAGAGCTTCAGGGGGGATTCGTCAGGGGTCTTGTCCACCTTCCCGTCCCTCTCTCCCTCCACCCCTGCTGGGTTTCTTTTCCCTACCCCCCCGTGCCACTCTCTTTCCTGGCTGCCTCTATGTGGCCCGTCAGGTTTGGAACCCTCGGCAGGCTCCCTTGAGGATCAGACTACCATCCTGTTCACCGTCGCCACCGCCAGCCGCTGCCCCCTGGCCGCGTGGCCCGCCTGCGTTGCTGGCTCATCGTCGACGGCTTCGGGGACGCAGGGTCAAGATGGTCAGTTCGGAACTCGGGTTGCCTTGGGTGCCCCACCTCGCGAGAGCTTTCCGGAATGGTTGCAGGTGAAATCTCTGTGGAGCGTGGGTCCGATCCCGCGCCCCAGTCCTCTTGGGTCTTCTGGCGGGTGTCCGAGCCGCAGGGGTGAATCGCCAGGGGTCCTCTCCACCCTCTCGTCCTTCCCTCCCTCCACCCCTGCGTCCGCTCCCCTCCCCTGGGGGTCCTCCGAGGACCGCCTCTCCGACCCGCACCTTTGTCCTTCGGTTACCAGGGGGTTGACCCCAGCCGCGGCCAACCACGGTCCACCCCCCGTCCCACACGACAAGTTTTTCACGCTGCGTCCAGCCGTGGCGACGACGGGGTGCGCCAGGCTGCCAATTTGTCCACACCCCAGAGGTTCCCTGCAGGACACCTGGACGACATCCTCGTTGCCGAGTTGCGCGGCCTCGACGGCTACGGGGCTGACTTGTGCTCTCTGTACGGCTCGCGCCCGCTGCGGCGCCGCTGGCCCAGGCGCCCTCGCCGCGCGGCACCTGCAGCTGCTCTTCCGGCGCGCGGTCGCCAAACCTCTTCCTCGGCCTGCCGAGCCATCCAGGACCACCGCGGCGGAGCTGTTCTATCTCCGGCACGTTCGATCGTGCGCAGCCTCTCCGACGGGGTGCACGGCCAGCGGAGGTTCATCCGTGACCAGCCCAGTGGAGGAAGCTGGACTGTTGTTGAAAGCATTGCGCCAGTTGTTGAATATCTTCGGCAAGCTGTTCGATGTGATCTTTCGCTTTGCCGCCTACGCTATGCTGAAAATTACCTGGCTGTGCTCACGTAAAGTCCTGCGATCTCGAGGGCTCGTCTTCCTGCGGCCGCTTCCCGTCGCAGCGATGCATCGCCTGCTGAACGGAGGCGGCGCTGTTCATATGACCCTCGCTTTCTTCCTGATGACGCTCGTTTCGCTGGACATTCGCGTCCGCCCTTCTGCATGCCGCGCCCTGAGCGCTGTCGCGGCGGGTGCGCTCGCCCCAGGCCCCCTCGCTGGTCGCCTTGCCTTCGGTCTCGCGGCAGCTTGGGCCCCATCTTTCCCAGATCGGGAGCGGAGCCGGAATCCCCGCAGGTTGGATCAGGAGCCAGTCGCTCCCGCTTCTGCCCGAGCACGTCCTCGTGATCTCCGCCGCAGTCTGACCGACCCTGTGGCGCCACGTCTTTCGGCAGATTTTGCGCCTGCCACTATGATGTACGAGGACGCTGGGATGCCATCGAGCGAGGTGCAGGGCGCCGCGCCTTCGCCCCCGCCGCCGCCCGCGCGGGCACCAGCCGCGGCTGTGGACGCTGCAGGGGGGCTTCTCGCTGGAACTGGGTTGCCGCAGCCTGGGAGCAGCAGCGCGGAGGCTCAGGGTCAGGGCATACCAGCCCACTCTGCCCAAGTCCCTCCCCCTGCCTCTGTCGTCGACCCAGGGGCTGGCGATCCACAGGCTGAAGCGCAAAGGCGAGCATCCCAGGAGGCCATGCGGGGAGGAGGAGCTGATGTTGGGGAGGGCGGCCCCCAGCGACGTCGGCGGATGGACGCCTCTGCCGCTGCTCGGGCCCTGCGCGCTGGCATCGCAGAAGCCCCGCCTCCAGCGGAGCCACCTCCAGTGGCGGCGTTCCCCAACGGAGTCATCGCATGCCCCCTATGCCGCGAGCGATCCTTCGAGACTGGGCCAGGGCTCATGCGCCATTTGACCACGATGCACGCGGGCGAGGCGCTTGATGACGGGGCGGTTGCTGTGCTCCGCGCTCTTGACAGAGCGGTGTGCTCGGACCCCGCATGTGGAGGCATACGGCGAATCGGCATGACGACGTGCAACAGGTGCAGACACTCGACGCCGTTACGGCCGATGCAGGTTGGCGATATCATTCCAGGCCCTCGAGGCGGGGCCCTCGTCCCAGCGCAGCCGCCGTCCCAAGAACCAGCCTCGCAAGGCAACCTTCGGAGAGACCCCGAGGACGTGGTGCTGGGAGTTGATTTCGCTGACCGCGTCAGGACCCTCAGGGGCACCACGCAGACGCACATCCCAGTCGCCTTGCGCGCCCGCCACGCCCGCATCTGGGCAGCCACTCTCGAAGGCGCCGCCGCGGGGTTACCAGGCTGGACGGCTTTGGAAGAGGCTCGGTCACGGCTACTTTTGCTTGACCCCCCCGCTGGCACGCACGTGCCGACAGAGCTGGCCGCCCGGGCCGCCCTTTGGGAGCGTGGATGCTATGAGGAACTGCTCTGCCGCGCCGAGGCTCAGGCCATCCTTCGACGACGGCCTGTGAACCGACGTGGACCTGGAGCCGAGGCACGCGCGACGGCTGCCAAGCGGCGCCGCGGCAAACGCTTGTGCGCCGAGGGGGCGTACCGAAGAGCTGTCCTCACGCTCACTGGGGAGACCGCCAAACTCACGCCAGCAGACGAGGCCAGATGGGCGGCCGAGCTTGCGCCGCAAGCTCCCCAGCCAGCTGCCGCTCGCTGGGTGCCCCAGCCGGCGGCTGCACCCGCCGACGGCGTCGCCGCGCCGCCGGGGCCGGGGGGCCCCGTGCTGCCGAGCGACCCGAACGACGCTGCATCCCAGGACCCGCTGCGGGACGATGCTGAGGTTCCAAGAGGCCTCGCGCGACGGCAAGCTTGGGGCTGAGGCGCGGTGGCTTACGCGCACTCGCTTGGTCTTCCTGAAGAAGAAGGGATCCGACAAGCCTAGGCCAGTTCGAGTCGGCGAGTTCCTGCGAGCAGCAATGGCCAAGAAGGTCCAGAAGAGAGCGGCTCCGAAACTCCGAGCTGCTTTCGCGGCTTCTCGGCAGTGGGGCGTCGAAATGCTTGGCGGCTGCGAAGCTCTCGTGCATTGGAGGTCCTTGGTGGAGGCGGAAGCCGTGGCGGGGCATATTCCCCCAGTTGTGGCGTTCGATTTAGATTTGGCGAACATGTTCGGCACCATCCTGCGGGAGCGTATTCGGGAAGCGCTGCGTCGCCACTTCCCCGAGGCCCTCCACTGGACGCAGTGGGTCCACGCAGACGACGAGCTCATGGACCTCCCCCAGGGCGGCGTGGCACACACCGACAGAGGGTCTGGCCAAGGGGACGTATTCGGACCCGCCGCCTCTGCTCTCACACTCGGCGACGCAGTAGGTTCAGCCCGCGACGAACTCCAAAGGCAGGCGGGCGGGCGCATCGGCGCCGTGGATGAATGGTTCATCGATGATGGGCAGGCTTTCGTCCGCGTCGAGGTCGCAGAGAGGTGGCTGCGGCGCATTGACCAAGCGATCGCTAGCATTGGGTGCAGCAGGGATACTGGGCCCAACTGCAAAAGCGTCGCGCGACTTCTGTGCCACCCAGACCGCCGGGATCAGCTGAATGGTTGGGAGCAGGGATACATCGCCCAAACGTGCAAGGTCCCCGACAGCCAGCGCGGCGTCAAGGTTCTGGGTGCCATGGTCGGAAGCAGCGAAGAGGTGAACCAACATTTCCGGCGCACATGCAATAAGGTGGCTGCTCAGAGGGCGGGGATTGGGGGCCTGGAGCAATCCCAGTGCGAGCTCGTGCTCCATCGCCGCTGCTTCGACGTCTCTAAGGTCGGCTACATTCTCCGGTGCAGCGGGGATATGGTCGACGGCGATGCCCTGGCCGCCTTCGACGCTTCGCTCAGGCACGGTACAGAGGACGCACTTCACGGTAAACTCTTGGACGAGGGCTGGATTCAGGCCACTCTTTCTGTGGATGCCGAGGGGCTCGGGCTCCGGGAGGCGTCCGAGTGCGCGCTGCCCGCTTTCATTGCCAGCCGGGTCGCCTCACGGCCGCTCGTCGCAGCCATGTGTGCTCACGTGGAGGAGGAGGGCTTGGGGTCGGCCGCCAGGTGCATGCGGGAGTACGACAGGCGCACGCACGCGGCGGCGCAGAGGTGGCGGGACGTCCTCCCTGCTGGCGTCCACGACGCCGTGCGCGCCCAACTCGAGGAGGCAGCCGCGCTGGCTGAGCGCCGCTGGAGGAACTGGTGCGCTGGTGAGGAGGAGGAGGACGAGCCAGGAGCTGGCGGGCGCGCTGCCAGCCACAGGCCAGGCGCAGCGGCCGTGGATGAGGCCGGCGCAGAGGATCCCGAGCACCCGGCCGCCCCTCGGGGCCGCGGCGCGCTGCGCCTCCAGCGCGATCTCACCAGGGAGGCGGACCGCACAGTGGCCACTGGGCTCCTCTCCCGAGCGCGAGCGAGTGGGAACATCGACGCAGTGCACCGCCTCCAGGAGCTCTGCCACCCGAACCAATGCCATGATTGGCTGTGGGCCATATCCCCGCACAAGGGACGGATTATGACCAGCGACGAGTTCGCCCTCGCCGTCCGCATTCGCCTCGGGGCGGGGGGGCCCGACGAGGAGGTGTTCCGGAGCGAGCTCGAGGACATCGGAGTGGAGTACCGGGTTCTGGCTGTAAGCGCTTTCGGTCGTTTCCACGACGAGTTCCTGCGGGTGCTGCAGTCGATCGCCCGCGCGCACGCGCGGCGGCGAGGCGCGGAGGCGCGCGTGGAGCTGCGCCACGTGCAAACCCGGATCGCCGTCAGCGTCTGGCGTCGCGCCGCTCGTATGGTGCGAGCGTGCACGCCGTTGGCCCTGGACGAGGATGACGCGGCCGACTTAGAACCCTCGGACCAGGCCGTGGCGGAGCGGCGCGGGCACCCAGGGGCCGTCCCACGAGAGCCTGGCGCTACCTCTGGCGCGGCTGCTGCTGCTGCTGGCATGGCGGAGGCGGCGGTGGCGACAGCCGCGGCAGCCCCCGTGGCGGCCGCTGCTGCTGCGGCGGCGGCGCCGGCGGCGCCTCCAGCGGAGGGGGCCTGACGCGCGACGACACGACGACAGCCCCTGTCTGCCCCCGTCCGCCGCTCTGCCCTTCCTTCCTTCCTTCCTCCCCCCCTCTCCTCCGGCTCACTGGAGTCGGGGCTCTTTAGCTATATAGGTAGCTAGATTGTGAGCGATTCGCCTTGCCTTGGCGTTTTTTCTCGAGGCTCTTCGCTTGCCCGCAGAGACAACGACGCGATGTTGTTCCCTCCCCCTCCTCCTCTCCCCCTGCCCTCGCCCAGCAGCTCTGAGGCCGCGCGCCCGCGCGAGAAATCCTGCAGGCTGTCCAGCGGGCGGCGTTCCCGCCGTCGCCCGCGGATGTTTTGCAGTTTTCCCCCTCCCCCTCCTCCTCCTCCTCCTCCTCCTCCTCCTCTTCCTCCTCCTCCTCCTCCTCTTTTTGACCTGCTGAGCCTAAGGTCTTGGTTCAGCTGCCACCGCGTTTCACCGCGAGAGTTCTTTATCGCGCATCTTTGTTACCCGATGTGGTTGTACAGTTATCTTGGCTATTTGTATACTTCTAATGTCCACGCTAGCCGGGTGGACGCCGGCGTGTCGCCACTTCGGGGGTGTACTTCCAAATTTCCTCAGACGCCATGCCGGTCACCGCGCTTGGTGACAGCGTTGCGGTGCCAGCTCCGTGGCCAGGGAAGGTTTTCTGAAGGCTCACGCCTTTGGTGACTCTCGTGCGCGGCAGTTTTTTCATTAACAAGCTGCTGGTGTTTATTAAGCACGTTGCAGGTTTAATACCACTGTTTTTCCCTCGCCCTCGGCGGTTGCATCTTTCGCAAATCACCAGGGGCCTCTCTTGAGGCACATGCAGCTGAAGACGGTCGGTGATTCTTGGGATACACGCATTCTTTGGCAATGTGTAACGCCAGGAAATGCGTGGTGTCCTTGGCAGGCGCAGCGCGAAAGGGCTGTCCGAGCCGACTCGTGCGGCATCTTCCGCGTAGGGCCGTGCGAAGGAGTTCGGATGTGCTGCGGTATCTCTGCGGTCGGGCTCGAGGGCCCCGACCTACCCGCGAATTGCTCCATGGTTATGGAGGCCCTTCGCGACCAGGGCGGCAAAGAAAACGGTGAACGCCCCTGCCCCATCACGAACGTCCCTTTTCTAGGCCAGGGGTGCCCGCTATCCAGCTACCACCCGCAGGTGCCCGCGCGTAGGGGCACATGCGTTCAGTGGACTTTCGCGCCTGTCTTCGACGAGGTCTCACCCGCGGTGGCGGCGGTCTTGGACAGCGCGGAGAATGAGGAGGACATGTTCCCGTGCAGAGTGGACTCCACCACGGGGTCCGCTTCGCGGAGCTGGTCTGGAACCCCGCCGTCGAAACAGAAGCTTGTCCAGTTCGACAAGTTCGACCCTCAGCGTCAGATGTTCAGACGTGGAGCACGCATGCCATTGATGATCTACGTGGGCGGGCCTGCTGACGTGCGGCGGACGGGTGAGGCGCAGAGGCGGCGGAATGCACATGCGGACAGCCGCGGTTGGACCTGGGAAAGGAGGCAGTCCACGATTCCTGGTGGAAAGGGGAAATGGCATGGGCAGCAGAACGGCGCGGGCGCCCACGGCCGCGGTGGCGGCGAGACACGCGACAATCGCGGCAAGGGGGGGAAATGGGGTGCGCGAGATCAGGGTCAGCAAGCTCCCTGGACAAGCGGGTGGTGAAAACGCATCCCTTCGTAACCCGCGGTGGCGGTGAGTGGGGGGCGCTGCGGCGAGGTGCGCCCTTGGTTGCGACGAGCATAGAGCGCCCGAGGTGGCGGCGAACAGCTTACGTACTTATAAGACGAAGCGGCCTCTTTGCGGTAATAGAGAATGCATCGAGGGTATGGGGTGGCGGGAGGGGCAGAACGACAGCCACGGGCAGGGCATGTGTTGTCACCCAGGAGCGGCGGCGACAAGCATGGGCAGGGAACGTGACGTCAGGTGGCAGCGTTTATGCTTTGGCAGCGTCTACTGACACTTTCAGATTAACTCCTGAGAGTATATGGCTACATGCGTGTTCGCGCTGCCTCTATGCAAGCGCAAGGGCGACAAGACTCACGTCGACAACTACATGTGCCTCGTCCTGCTGCCCATCCTAAGACGCATCTTGGCCGATATCTTGACCCGGCGCATATCTGCAATGGCTGAGTAAGAGGGTCTACTTCCCCCGAGACAGCGCCGGCGTCGGCGCCGGCCCGCGCCTGACCACCGCGCGCTGGCGGCGGCGGGGCACTCGTAAAGTGCGGCGTTTGCCGGTCCTACGGTGGTGGCCTATCTGTGAACGGGGCTACTGCGACAGGGGCGTACTCGATTTGCCCGCGGACACGGGATGAGGGGGCATGGGGGGCCCCGAGGCGCGCCCCGTTCGCGTTCCCGGGGAAAAGGACACAGACGGCGCTTGGTGATGCAGAAGTATCGGAAGAAACGGTTGTCGACCCACCGGTGGCGCCGGAGGCGGCTGTTGAGTGCGAGCGGAGTTGCAGAAGTGACGCCGGCTCCTGAATGCCGGCTCAGGACGCGATTGCGGATCGGGGCGTGGAACGTTGGGGGTTTTGGGGGGCAGCTCTCTCGGTCAGACCCCTGGCTGAAACGGTAGTGCTTGTTTGGAGTAATGAACCACAGGGGGTGGGGGCTTTCTGGGGCGATGTCTGCATGCCGAATTCTGGGGTATATGAGTACGAGACAAAGGAGCAGACGTGGACTCTCGTGGTCGAAGGAAAAATGGCGATAGCATCGGGGCCGCCAATGGCGGAGGCCTGGCGGGAAGGCGGCGCCGTGCAGTTCACTCCCCGCCTTCTGGCGGGCCCAGAAACCGCGTGCTCGCCGTGCGCATTCCGAGGAGAGGCCATCGACGGGGTTTCTTCTTTGTGGCCGGATACGCTCCGACGTCCAAGAGAATCGCAGCTCCTGACAGGGAGCTGTTCTGGGAACAACTCAAGGATGTTGTGGGGGAGGCCCCGCGTAGTGGTGGGTGGGGGCATGAACGCGACCCCTAGTAAGGTGCCCCGCGGGGAGTTCAACGAACAAGTTGGACAGTGGTGTGAGGCAGACAAAGGGGCCATTAGCGGGGCTTCTATGCACGTGGTGCAGGAAACGGGCTTGTTGTTTGCGGATGCGTTGTGCTGGCTAAGAGAACAATGCGTGGGTGCACCCGAGGTCATTGGTTGGATACCGCCTGGGCCATATCATGGTCAAGCAGGCCAACCGCTGGTTTGCGACGAACTGCCGGGCGCTTCATGCGGGCGCCCGGCGCATCCCAACGAACCTGGACTGGGGGGATGACACGGACCACGAGCCAGTGGAATTGACTCTTCGAGTGGCAAGGGATTGGCGCAGGCAGGCGTGGCTTAAGCGGCAAGCCCGCCCGAACTGGGCTCGCCTTCGGGGGCCGTCGGGCGAAGCAAAGCTCGCGCGTGCCCAGTGTAGCGCAGCGGTGGATCAGGCAGTGACGGCACAGGGTGCCGCTGCCGAGGTAACCTGGGAAGACCTCGTGCTGGTGTCTCATCAGTGCGGGTTGGGGACCATGGGCGAAGCAGCCCGGCCGCGCCCGGCTCCCTGGTTGAGGGGGGCATGAGGCGGAGGTCGCCAACGTGAATCAGAGAATTAACAACGCGCGGGATGCCGATCGGGAGGCCTGTCAGCTACCTCGGCCGGGAACGGAATTCGAGGGAGCTACCGGGGGTCGCTGCAGACGGGAAATCCGCGAAGCTCGGAAGACGAAGCGACTCTGTCTTAAACGCTGGGAGGGCGGTTGGTGGGGAGAGCTCGGACGCGGTGCGGTCGCGGCGACAGACCAGAACGATCAAGGCGAGATGTACCGTCCGTTTAACCAAGTGCGCGATCGGGATAAGCGCGCCCCCTAGACGGACGGCAGCGCCGGAGCACGAACCTGTCGGCCGAGCTCCAAGCGTGGGCGGCCCACTTTAAAACTGTATCCGAAAGGCGAGGGGTCGTGGACCGCCGGGTATGGGATAATGTAGAGAAGGTGGGGCCGTCCGCCGCGTGGCTTGGCCACGCCCTGGCCGACGTCGAGCTCCGCGCGGCAGCGGGTCGCACGGGGCTCGGAAAAGGCTAGCGGCCAGGGCGGGTTTCCGGTGGAGGCATTGCGTTTTGCCAGAGCCAAGTTCCAGCAGGCGGTGTTCGGGGTGGTCGGGTCCATGTGGGGTGCCGCCGCCGCCGCGGTAGATGGCGAAGAAGGCCGGCAGTGGCCGAGGGCATGGCGGGTCGGGGTCACGGTGCCCCCGTGGAAAGGGAAAGGGGTCTCGGAAGGACAAACGCACGTGCATGGGGCATCACGCTACTCAGCGTCGGCTCGAAGCTTCTTGCTAGAGTCGTGGCGGCCCGTCTCGCTCGCTGGGCAGAGCGCGTCCTGGACGAGCCGCAGTGCGGCTTTCGGCAAAACCGAGGGGTGGACGATGTGCTCCAATTGAGCCGCCGTCTCGTGGAAGAGGTGGCCAGGCTGCAAGGCGACGACTGGTGCCTCCTGTCCTTTCTCGACATCGAAAATGCTTACCCCCGAATAGCCAAGGATGCCTTATGGACGCTACTTCGTCGCCTGGGCTGCCCCGGAAGGATGGTGAAGGTATTCGTGGCGCTACGCGAAGGGGCCGAGTGCCAGGTCAGGGTCGAGGGGGCGCTGTCCATGCCATGGCTGCCTGACCGGGGCCCTCGGGGAGGATGCCCGTCATCGCCGGTACTTTTCAATCTGCGCCACGGCGCCGTGATGGATGACTTTCGAGCGTGCCGGGCGGCGCCGGCCGAGGCGGCTCGAGCTGAGCCGGGCATTCGTTGGTACTTCAAGATTGGTTGTAGAGTAGGCACGAGGTCTACCGTCAGGCATGTGAGGGAAGAAGGAGCGCCG